ATCTACTACAAATGATATAGAAGTCTGGGAAAAAATATAAACTTATACTCGAAAAAGTATTATTTCTCTCCCTGTTAAATTTCCTTCCTTCTATTGCATTAAAAGAGATACAAGGCTAGTGGAGCAACACATAGTTTTCTGTAGTGTCACAGAATGGAAAAAGCTAAGGGTGAGTTATTGGGAGTTAAAGTCATAAGGAGATAGAAAAGATATAGACTATACTTAATTCCTTGAGAAGAAGCAACAATGGTCCTAGGGATTAAAAGAGGATTGGATTCTTTCCTGATTGTTGTTGTAGAGGCCAAGACCAAGCCATGACAAACTGGTCCTCCACAGCTGTGCTGCTTTGGCAACCAAAAGAATGTTCTGGCTCATAGTCCTGGCCAAACTGTGAAAAATGGAGCTGTCCACTGAAAAGTAGGAAATCTGCAACAGAAATAAGTAATAGACCTGGATGCCAAATTCAAAGATCACCAGACACAATGCAAGAAAAGCAAATATTTCAGGATAATAAAGAGTAATTTGCTAATTTTGAAATGCAAGGGTAAATTGTACTTTATTTGTTCATGCATTCATTGACAAATCCAAATATGTGAGTAAAAATAGAATTAACAGTCAAAAAGAAAGTATATTTTCAAATGCTCTCCGCTAGGGTTTAGTGGTATCCAGGGCCTTCCTCTCCCTATCAATAGCAATAGCACATTGTTGGCCCAAGTGAAGTTGTTATTTGTACAAAAAACCTTCTGGAGAGTTCATGAAACAGAGTTGGTCAAACTAACTCTTGAGATAAGGACCCTGCAAATGGTTATAAACATATGATCTGCATTACAGTTAGTCTTGGACAAAATGATCTTTACCAGATTTTGTCTTAAGTTTTTCCAGTGCTTGACATTTGAATATTCTTTTTGCTCCAAATGAATTAATGTGCTAATAATAGTTTTTTCAATAAAGACAACTACAGAGATTATAGATGAACATTTATCTACTGTTATCATAACACTAGTACAATTTTAATAAAAAGGTTGGAAATGATATCTATTTAAATTAAGTCAAGAAGAAAAAGAAAAGATGTTTCCTTTTCCTGAGAAAGTAAACATATTTTTTCTTTAATTTCTTTATACTTTGGAATAAAGGGCAGCTATTAAACCTTTAAATAAACCTTTAAAATAAACTATGCTATACAGAAATATTTGGTTTGATCTTTAATGAGCCATTTTTGTGACTTTATAGGCAATATAGAATGATAATGCATCCCAACTCATCTAGTGCTGCCTTTCTGGGAATACATACGCGTTGTTAGACACCACGGAAGCATGGGAGATGAACTGGGTTTTTGCATTGTCATTGACACTAAGAAGCTCTGTGGTCTTTAACCTCTCTTGATCTCAATTTCTTCAATGTAAAACTAAAGGACTCAAGGGGACCCATGTTTCTAGTAATATTTTTTTCTTATTAAGCCTACAGGTAACATTTGAAGTGCATTTGATTTCATTAATTCCCCCAAGAATCCCCCCATTAGTGGCAACCTCTGAACAATAGATTCTTTAAAGATCTCACCAAGTCTAAGACTCTATTATTCTAGCATTGAGCAAAGAAGGGGAATGGGGAGAAAAGACATGCAAATACTACTTACTTTTCAAATAAATATCTGATAATCACAAAGAGAAAAGCACATGGAATTGTCATATATAAATGAGAAGGTTTTGCAAAGACGAGCCCATCATGATCTTCAAGATCTGACCACTTTATTGTTGGAGGAAGCCAGAATCTTTCCAACCAGAACCATTCTTTAAACGTCTGAAACATTCTAGAGAAATGGAAAAAGAATACATTAGACTTGTAAAACAAACACTTAATATTGGAATAACGTTGAGTACCTTCTCTCAAAATACTGACACCAGAGAGTTTTGAAAATAAGGTAAGAATGGAACACTATTATGTAATAGGTTTAATGACACTTCATTGCATTAAATAAAAATAACTCTTCGAATATTCTCAGAACAATTTTGGTTATAGCATGACAAAGTTTAAAACATCACTGTTCATACTTTCAGCAGAACATATGTGAATATTATGGGTATGTATTTTCCTCTTAAATGATTCTATGGTATAAAAAAATAACTCAACAATAGGCTCTACAACTTTAATATGCTGAAAGTTAACCCCCTGAAAGCTCTAAGTATGTATAAATCTTCACTAGTACCCTAAGAAATTTCCTAGGAGACAAAGGACAGGAACATTTAACTTCATATTACAACAAAGAGTTCAAATTAATCCATTTTAGTAAATATTTATTGAGATTCTATTATTTGTGAAGCACTGTGATAGGCACTGAGGATACAAAGATTAATTTCAAAGACAGGGTTCCTGCCTTGAGGAACTAATAGTCTTGCAGGCAAGGCAGGCCTGAAAAGTTAACTTTCATGAAATTTTTTTAGGTACAATAAAAAAGGTATATACAGGGTGCTGTGGGAACAAGATGGTGGGCACTGAGCCTAGCC